GTACTTTTCCTGGTTACCTCTGTATTGGTTTTTTCTGCTTAACTGATCATGCTATGCACCTATTGCTCTAATGTTATATAACAATCTCTATAAAAATAAAGCCTAAATCAAACTCTATGAGTTCAGTCAGTCCCACAGAGGCTGGCTGTTCTCTGGCATCCAATCGGGTGTCTGACTCTTCATTTGCCTGTGCTGTCCATCCTTCAGGGACCCTGAACCCTGCTGAGGCTGGACCCCCGGCAGTTGTTGACTTACAGTTGTCCCCATTTCCTCCCCATTACTCTCCCCCACCCTACCCACCTCCACTTCCCACATTCAATCCTCCCCTGCCATTGGTTTTGTCCATGGGTCCTTTATACACATTTTAGATTCACAACAAAACCGAGCACGAATATAGAGAGGGTTCCCATATAGCCCCTTCCCCACTATATGCGCCATTTCCCCCACTACCAAGATCCCCCATGAGAGTTGTACGTTTGTTACACAGTTCCTTGTTGACACATCCTTATCACCAAAATCTGTAGTTTACATTAGAATTCACTCTTAGTTTTGTTCATTCTATGGGTTTTGTCAAAGAGTATCATACAGCATATTTGCACTGGCTTAAAAATTCTTGGCCTATTCCTCCCTCCTTCCCCTCTAATCCTTGTCAGCCACTGATCTCTTTATCTTCATAGTTTAGCTTTTATAGACTAGCATACAGTTCAGTGGGCCCCAGCCTTTTTTGGCACCAGGGACAAGTTTTGTGAAAGACAATTTTTGCATGGTCTGGGGATGGGGGATGGTTTCAGGGTGATTCAAGTGTATCACATTCAAGCTCATCTGCTGCTGTGTGGTCCAGTTCCTAACAGGCCCAGACTAGTTCCAGTTCATGGCCCAGAGGTCGGAGACCCCTGATATAGCTGGAATCATACAGTTGGTGGCCTTTTCAGGCTGGCTGCTTTCACTTAGTAATATGCACTCAAGTTTCCTCTATGTCCCTTTACGGCTGGATTGCCTACTTTTTCTTAGAGCTGAATAATATTTCATTTCATGAGTGTACCATGGTTTGTTTAACTATTCACCTACTGAAAGGCATCTTGGTTGCTGCCAGATTTTGGTAATAATAAATAAAGCTTCTATTAACATCCATGTGCAGGGTTTTAGGTGGATATAAGTTTTTAATTCACTTGGGAAAATACCAAGGAGCATGACTGCTGGATCATATGGTTAGAGTGTTCAGCTTCATCAGAAACTGCCAAGCTGACTGCCAGAGATGCTGAACTGCTTTGTATTCCCACCAGTAATGACTAAGAATTCCCATTGCTCCTCATCACCCAAAGTCCATAGCCTCCCCAATATTTGGTGTATTCAGTGCCTTGGATGATGTCATTCTAATAGGAATGGAGTGGTACCTCTTTGTTATTTTAATTTGCAGGTCCCTAATGACATGTAATGTTTAATATTTTTTCATATGTTTACTTACTATCTGTGCATCTTCTTTGGTGAGGTCTTTTATGCATTTTTCAAACAGGTTGTTTCCTTAGGTTGCATTTTAATAATTTGTAAATTTTGGATAATAAAATTATATCAGATATCCCTTATGCAAATATCTTCTCTCCGCCTGTTTTTAAAAATAAAATCAGACCTCGAATCTGATAACAAGCCTTGTGTATTTCCTGCAAATTTTAGCAAGGCCACGTAAGTGACAAGATTCTATCAAATATGCTTTTCCTGGAAGGCAAGGAGGGAAGAAAATATAGCTTTTCTAAGTAAGATACATTTTGTCAATGGCCAGAAATCCAGCATGATTGAATTGCAGATGGGCTTGAGCTTCTCAGAGCTGGATCCTCTGCACCAAGCCAAAGCTAGAGAAATCAAAGAAGGTAAAATGTGGTTGAATGTAAGATTGCAATCTGGAGAAGTCTGATCCTCTACCCTTAACACATCTTTTTAGGCTCTTTTTATTGACAAAGATGACAATTATCCTCATTGTAACAACCATTCCATGAAATGTAACATGGGGCAAGGAGAAGGCGAACTGTCTTTTCTAACCCAGGGTATAGCGTTTCACTGTCAAGAGGCCCAAGGCCAAGTTGAACACTGAAGTCTTCAGATGGATGAAGCACTAGAACTGGTGGTATATGACAGTATTCCTCAGATTTAGCTCCTTATTCCAGAACCATAACTAGTCAAGATCTGTGGAACTGAACAATATAAATCAATAAAGGCTAATAGACTTAAAGGAGATGTGAAACCCAGTGAAACCCAAGCCAATTACCCATGAAATTAAAAGCCTACAACCACCAGGTTTCCGAATCAATACCAGCTAGAAATACACTAATGTAGCGTATAGTCAGAAAGTGAGTTCTCCCCGGCGCTCATCACAGTCAAGGCCAGGTGTTTACAGCTGGTGTCTGCATCAGTGGGTCAGCACAGGTGCTCTGTCATTTATTAAAGATTTTGAACATCATTAGTCTCATCTAAATTGTTCTCTCTATATATTTTTGTTCATGGACAATCACTTTGCTTAATATAATTGACTCCTAGATGGCTTCAAGTACAGTAGAGTTATAAATCTAAATTCTAATCAAATAATGGAAGAAGAGTGTGTTTTTTACCTAAAGTATAGAATAAAAATTAATGACTTTTGTTTATTCCAAAACCAGAATAAAAGTCACAGAGACGAGTACTGTGTGGGGCTCAGGACAGTGGGGCCAGCTCCTGGTCCTGGTTTCCTGTAGAAAATGAGTGAGCTAGAATCTCTTGGCTCTACAATGTGCAAACATGACTTTGGAAAGTGAAAGTAAGTGTTCCGTGAGAAAACAAGTTCCTTTACACAAAGCTATTTCTTGTAAATCAGGCAAGGAAGAGTGAAGTCAATATGTACTTGTAAACTCACATGCCAGGTCCCTCTTTTACACAATCAGTCACACTCAATAAAAAACCATCTCATAAATATACCTTGTCTTATTAAAGTCCAGGGAAGGCATGAGTGAATTTAGCATGAAATAATGTTATGGGCACTTTTTTTTCCCCTTCTGGAATCTGGACCTTTAGTTCACTGGTCGTTCTCAGAATAAGCTAACAATATTTAAGGCAACTTGGCCAACAAATTTAGCCATGCTTAAGCTTATGGCTTTCTTTATTTTTTATATTTCTGTATAAATACATTCTGGAAGTCTTACAAGTATGGTTAGTACATAGGCAGTTTTTTCCTTTCTTTTCTTGATTTTATCTTCAGAAACAGAAGAAAATCAAAGAAACTAGAGATGCAAAAAGGAGAGTAGAGAAAGAAAAAATTAAAAAAAGAAAAAACGCAGGAATAGGATTTAGGTCTGAGCATAAGAAAAATATCTATTTAATGTGTTCATTATAAGATTTTAAAACATTATAAAGAGGCCCTGGCTGGTGTAGCTCAGTGGACTAAGTGAGGGCTGTGAACTGAAGTGTCGCGGGTTCAATTCCCAGTCAGGGTACATGCCTGGGTAGTGGGCCAGGTCCCTAGTGGGGGTCACGTGAGAGGCAACCACACACTGATATTTCTCCCTCCCTTTCCCTCTCTCTAAGAATAAATAAATAAAATCTTTAAAAAACATTATAAATATATAGTAGAGTCATTTTCTACAGAAAAGAACAAGAAAAGATTTTTATACCTGTTTTTACAAATTAAATATATATATGTTTATTTCACTCAATGCACTTTTTTTTTGAAATAATGATAGCTTCTCAAATAGACCCTTGAGGGTTAAGAACATGAGCTTTTACACAGAGGCAAATTATCATAACTGGTTTTCCCCCACAAAGTATGATAAGCTAAACCTTGACAATATATGCAAATCATTAACTTAAAAAAACACAGCTTTTTTTTTCCTTCCTGAGGGAAGAGTTAGTTAATATTCGTTCAGGGTTTAATTGTCTATCTCTCATCACTCTAATTAAGGAAGGGAGCAGGGCTCTCTGGGAATCATGGACTTCTTGTTATAAGACATCCAATTAGCTTTAAGCTGAGCAGCAGCTACCACCAGGGTTTTTCTGTCCTGAACAAAAGTTCTGAGGATATAACACTGAAATATGAACAGGAAGTAAATGGCAGGCCTGTCCATTAAATCAACTAGGGGGTTTTCTTAAGCCCTGGGGCCTCCTTTGGAGAACTTTCCTAATTTGTGTACTGAGTAGAAAGATGGGTAAAGGTCAAGAGGCCTAATAGGTCGGTTTGTTCCCTTTTCTGCCTGGCAATGTTGGGCCTCTTGGGGACATAGTTTTAAGCCACAATGTGTCTACAGTGATGTGCTTTGGTAGGAATAGGATTCTAAGTTCTGAGTTTTTCTCTACATATCCCTGGGGATATTATTCTAAATATAGCAAAGATCAAGAAGAATTTATTGTTACTCATTAAAATTCAGGTAACTCCAAAACTCAACCCAGGCAAACCTACTCAAAGTGATTTAAGGCAGTCAAGGCCTATTTATATGAACTTTGTATGTTCTCCTACAAGCATTGAAGTCTAAGAGGCAGGTTTTTCTATTCAAGTTCTGCCAAACTCATCAGCGACTATAGGGAACTGCTTCAAATGGTGTGGAAAACCAGTGGGGAGCGAGTGACATGCAGGACCATGCCAACAGAGAAGTTTTCCTGTGGGAAATCAGGCCTGCATCATACCTAGGCCTCTATGAGACTTGCTTTTGCTAAAACTCCCTCACCTTGAATTGAGGCAGAAAGGGCTTACTGCAACTTCCTAAAATCTGAGCTAAACCTCCCCAGTATGGAGAGTGACCAGCTCAACCACTTTTCCCCATGATCTGCAACATCCTTCTCTTTGACGTCATTAGCAGCATTCCTTCCTTTGTTATCTGTAAAAGGCAGTCCCCTGCAGTAAACCTGTGCATAGTGAATGAGGACTACCCTTCATGTAATGTACCCAGAGAAGCAATAAAAGCCTGGCCAGGCAAGGACTGGGCTCTCTGCTCCTCTTGCCCTCTCTCTCTCAGAGTTACCATGCCATCTCTTTTTCTCCACAGGACTTCTGTTGTCGGTGTGTATTTGTTCATGAGCAGCCACAACACACATAAATCCTGCCGGCCAGGATCCGCCACAAGTGACCTCTAAGTAAAACTCAGTTTAAATTTCTTCTTTCAAAGACAGTGCATACAAAAAAGTAACAACTGAAATCCTACTTTGAGCACTCCAGAGGTAAGAATTATTATTTAACACTTAGTTGCCAAATTAATTATATATATGTATGTTATGCATAATATATATACTCACATACATAAAATGGATACAATACTAGTTTGAATATCTGTATCCTTAAATATGGACAGAAAATCATTTGAATTTGGTTGAGTGGGTTCAGTCACCTAGAGCTTTTGAGTGATTTACCAGGTAACTAATTACTTACCTCGATCTGGTAAAATAATAATCTGGAATTTCCTAAGCACTGGGTGGGAGTTTTTAGGTGTTTTGAATTGAATCTAAGGTAATATGAGAGGGCCGTTTATATTCAATGCATAAACTGTGCCAACACTTTATTAATCTTAAAGAAAAGCTTTCCTTGAGTGGAGAGAAAATGATAATAAGCATGATAGTGAAAGGAAAGGAACAGTAATAATAATCTTTAAAAACTAGCTTTGGATAGAGGTGAACTCAGACTTTTTATTTAGGGAGTCAAGGAAGTTTGTTTTATTTCAAGCCATTTCCCCCCCCCCCCAACACACACATAGGTTATGCAGGCCCAAAAGTTTTGTGCTTTTGTTCCCTCCACTCTTCAATTGTTTGGGCTAAAATTGGATTCTGTTGCTTTTTGTGTTATTACCAGTTATGTCAGAAGGAGGAGGGAGTGTGCATTAATAAATCCAGTAAACTTGAGGGGTTATTAGAATAAACCTTGCAGGTACGAAGAGCCTGGAGTTCTACGAGAAGTGGGGGCTAAACAGAGTTTACAAATCCTGGCTCTGTTGCTATTGCAGTCTCTGCGTTCACGTACATAAACGGACACTGAGATATTAATTCAAGAAATAGCAAGTAAAACAGACAAAATGAGCCCGAAGAAAATGACTCACGGAGGTCGAAGGTAGTGGCAGAGTAGGTAGTGGTCACAGTAACAACTTGCTAGGACCAAACCAGAATTACAACTAAATTACAGAAAATTCATCTTGAATAACCAGATGAACACTAGTTGGAGAGAAGCCTCATAAGCAAGGACTTACAGAAAAAACCACATTACAACAATGAGACTAGTAGGAAGTGCTGAGGTGCAGAGAGCTGGCTGCAGCCCCCATAGGTGGCAGCTGAGGTTTCAGAGGCATATATCAGCAGCCAGGGGCTTCCCCCTGAGACAGGTAATGCCTAAAATCCCAAGTTGGGCTCCTCAGCTTATGGCACCAGACCCAGGAGAGGAACTCAACATCTGGCTGTGAAAAGGGAGATTTTAGTCATTTGCCAGGGAGAAATGACTAGAGATGCAGAGAGCCTCTTAAAGGTCCAACAACAAAATTCTGTTTGCAGCCACTTATCCTAGGCTTTGGCAGAAAGAGGGGAGAGCAGACTAGAGCCACTTAAGGAAACTCTGGGGATGGTGGTTCTGGGGAGAGAACCACCAGGATCCCTGTGCTGACTCATTCCCCACACTGCAGAAGCCGTATCTCTTGGGCAGAGCACTTCCTTCCAAGTGGCATTGGCCTGAGGGGAAGCAATAGCCCCACCTGCAGGAATCCCTCTTGCCCTACCCTATATACCTTAAGCCAGACTACTGAAGCATGCAGATGGAGGCACTTTCATTAACTAAGCCTAACAGAAAGCCTGGAGGAGGAGGTGAGTCTCTGGGAGCGTTGAGACTTTAGCACACCCTCCTCCAGGCCTGTTGGCGTTGGTGAAAGTCAGCCTTGCTGTGCAGCTCGGTTCTTTCTGTACACACCCAGGCCCAGCAAAGGAAGCCACAAACTGCAGATCACTGATAGCTCCCAACAAGCTGCTCAGGGCCATCACAATCAGTGTGCACCAGAGTCTTTGTGGAATTACCTAATATGTAAAAACAAACACAAAATAGGAATAGCCAAAATAGGAAGACAAAGAAACAGACCCTAAATGAAAGAACAAGAGAATTCCCCAGAAGAAGAGCTAAAAGAAATGGAGGCAAGAAATTTATCATATGTGGAGTTTAAAGTAATAATTATAAGGATATTCAACAGCATAAAAAAGACACAGAAACCATAAACAAGGAACAGAAACAAAGAATGCTATATTTGAAATAAATAATACACTGGAGGGAATAAACAGTAGGTTAGATGAAGCAGATGATTGAATCAGTGATTGGGAAAACAGGGTGGAAAAAAATACCCAAGCAGAGCAACAAAAAGAAAAAAAAATTAAGTGAGTGAGATTTAAGGAAACTTTGGTACAACATCAAATGTAACAACAGCTACATCATGGGGATCCAGATGGAGAAGAGAGTGAGCAAAGGGCTGAGAACCTATTTGAAGAAATAATGACTGAAAACTTCCATAGCCTGGTGAATGAAAAAGACACACAAGTCCAGGAAGTGCAAAGAGTCTCAAACAGAGGAGGACCCAAGAAGGCCCACATGAAGACACATCATAATTAAAATGGCAAAGCAAAAAGACAAGGAGAGACCCTCAAAAGCCTCAAGAGAAAAGCAGTTAATTGCCTTTAAGGGAACTTCTATTAGATTGTCATCTGATTTCTCAACAAAAACATTTCTGGCCAGAAGGAATGGGCATGAAGTATTTAAGGTGATGAAAAGGAAGGACCTACAACCAAGTTTACTTTATCCAGCAAGGTTATCATTTAAAATTTAAGGAAAAATAAAAAGTTTCACAGACAGAAAAAAAGCTAAAGGAGTTTGTTATCATCAAATCAGTATAGCAACACATTGAAGAGAAGAAGAAGAAGAAGAAGAAGAAGAAGAAGAAGAAGAAGAAGAAGAAGAAGAAGAAGAAGAAGAAGAAGAAGGAGGAGGAGGAGGAGGGGGAGGAGGAGGAGGAGAAAGGAACAGAGGAAAAGAGTTAAAAAGTAAAATGGTAGTAAATACCTACCTGTACAATATCAGTTTAAATGTAAATGGCTTAAATGCTCAAATCAAAAGACATAGGGTAGCTTAATGGATAAGAAAACAAGATCCATATATACGTGCTGTATCCAAGAGACCCACCTCAAAACAAGAGATCCTTCTGCTAGACACAGACTAAAAGCAGAGGGATAGAAAATGATATTTCAGGCAAATGGAAAGGAAGAAAAAGCTGAGGTAGCAAAAATCATATCTGATAAAACAGACTTTAAGACCAACACATAGTAGGAGACCAAGAAGGACACTGCTTAATGATAAAGAGAACAATTCAACATGAGAATATAAATCTAGTAAATTTTGAGCAACCAACATACGAGCACCTAAATATATAAGGCAAATCTTGATGGACATAAAGGAAGAGACTGACAAAAGAACATTGTAGTAGGGAATTTTAACACCCCATTGACCTCACTGAGTAGATCTTTCAGACAGGAAATCAGCAAGGAATCAGCAGCCTTAAATGACACACTGGATTTAATTGATACATCCACTGGATTTAATTGATACATCCACAGCACATCACCCCAAAACAGCAAAATATATATTTTTTTCAAGTGCACATGAAACATTTTCTAGGATAGGCCACATATTAGGACACAAAACAAGCTCAATAAATTTAAGAAAATCGAAATCATATCAAGCATCTTCTCTGACCATAAGGCTATGAAATTAGAAATCAAACACAAAAAGAAAACTAAAAAATACAAACATATAGGAGCTAAATAACATGCTATTAAACAATTAATGGGTCACCAATGAGATCAGGGAAGAAATCAAATATACCTTGAAACAAATGAAAATGAGAACAAAACAACCCCAAATCCATGGGACACAAAGAAGGCAGTCCTAAGAGGAAAATTCATAGCATTACGGAAGTATCTCTAGAAACAAGATTAAACTCAAATAAACAATGTAACTTTATACTTTAAGTTGAAAAAGAACAATAAACAAAACCTAAAGTAAGTAAAAGGAAGAAAATAATAAATGTTAGAGCAGAAATAAATAAAATAGAGTCTAAAAAATACAAAATATCAATAAATCCAAGTTTTGGTTCTTTGAAAAGATAAACAAGATTGACAAGCCTTTAACCACACTCATCAAAAGAGAGAGAGAGAGAGAGAGAGAAAGAACCCTGTTGGAAACTGTCCTGCCTGGTTTCAGAAGCTATAACCCCCCATGGCTGAGGCTGAGTGGGCGACCTTGGGACCATAAGCCACTTAGGACAAAGCTTATCCTGCCCCTTTAATTCACCTTGTTTGGCCCTGAGCCTGACTGATTAGCCAATGACAGGTAAGATTCCTCAAGAGAGGGATGACCTAAGACAGTCATGGTCACAAAGGGGCCCCCAGGGAAGGACTTGGGGGGGTTATAGAAAAAGGGGATGATGGAACCTCACCTCTCGGCTTTGACATAGCCTGAGTCCTCATTCTGTCTGTAAGAAGTCTCCTAATCTCTTGGCTGCCTTACTTCCCCTACCTGACTTAAGCCTGAAATAATGTCAGAGGGCAGTGCAGCCCTGTGCTGGAAGGGGCAGGTTCCCCAGGGCTATCAGGACTAAGAAAGAACACACAAAATCTTGTGAAACCTGCTTTGCTAAGAATGCCCTAAATTTTCTAATAAGGTTCAGAGCAGGAAATGAGTTTGCTTCCTAAAGTTTTATAGCCCTTTAGCTAACTGACCAGGACTCAGAATAAGCCCTTGTAGTTCTTTGTATGTTATCTATTGTTTGATCCTTACTGTCTGACAAGGATTGATGAGCTTTACCTGTATTCCTGTGCAAATTAAACCCAATAAAAGCTCATGGAGGAAAAGGCTTCTGGCTCTTCTCCTTTGAGAGATCGGCCACCTTTCCTTCCCAAGTAGATCAGGTCTTGGTATATTTATTCTCATCCATGGCAGCCAGTGGTGGGAGGGGGAGGGGCTGTGGGCAGAGCCCACCCACAGAACCCAAATAAGTAAAATAAAAAATGAAAGAGGGAGAATAACAACTGACAACAAAGAATTTTAAAGGAGTGTAAGCAATTGTTATGAACGATTATATGCCAACAAATTGGACAACCTGGGCAAAATGGATAAGTTCCTAGGAACATAAAATCTTCCAAAACTA